AGGGGTGATTTCACTTGTTTCCTTTCTGCAGGGATCTCAGCTCTCAAGTGCCTGTGGTGTAATGGCTGAAAGCTGATACCTAATGGATTTTGGTCTGGTTTCCTCCTTGTTTAAGATGAGAGTATAAATAAATACAGTCCTTAGTTCTTCATTGTAGCCATAACCAGAAGTTCTTGCTCTAGAGTCTACATTCTATCTTTTTTAAAGAAATAATGACATAAATACTCAAAGGGTTGCTGTTTCGCTGGTGATGACATTTTTATGCTTTCAGATTGAGAGATAATCACAACAACTCTTTTCAGAGACCTATATGAATTGTTGTCATAAAATTTGTAAAGATAGATATTTGTGGTATCATCATCTCTATTTCAGAAACATTAAAACAGATTCTGAGCAGTTAGTAACTTGACCAAACTTGGTTGAACAGCTGAAGGTGGTTTCTCTGAGAGTGCATTTATGTGTACCACAGTGCCTGATGTGTAGTTTAAAGAAAAATCACAACTCATGGACATAATTTACCGTATCAGAAGCAATTGGAAGTAGGGCACTGGTGGTTTAGCCTGTAATCCTAGCTACTCAGGATATTAAGATGTGAGGACCACAGTCCAAAGCCAAACTGGGAAGAAAAGTCTGTGAGACTCTTCTCTCCAATTAATCAGAAAAAAAGCCAGAAGTAGAGGTGTTGCTCCAGTGATAGAGCTACTAGATTTGAATAAAGTTAAAGGACAGCCACAGTTCAAAGCCCTGAGTTCAAATCCCAGTACTAGTGTACACACACAAAAAAGGCAATTGGAGCCTAATGATTTTGAGTTGAAGGTTACTCATGCAGCAAACTCAGGTGTTTCTGATAATATTTTACAATACAGCAGAATTAGTATTGTTTATGTATAGAATCAGAGAAAATGAGAGGGAGAAGGAAGAGAGAGACAAAGAATGAAAGAACAAAAGAAAAAGAGAAAAAGAAAGAAAGGAAGGAAGGAAGAAAGAAAGAAAGAGAGAGAGAAAGAAAAAGAAAACCAAAGGAAGGAAGGAGAGAGGAAGGAAGGAAAATGGGAGAGAGAGCGAGAGAGAGAAAGAGCAAGAGAGAGAGAGAGAAAGCAAGGCCCAGCCAGCATATTTATTTGCACATGCGCATGAGTTTGGTGAGGTGGATAAAAGAGCCAGACCTGACCACATTGACCTTTGGTGAGCTCTGAGGACTTTACATATAATACTGAAATTATATTCATTTCCTAATGTATTATTATCATTGTTATTATAGTCCTTTCCAGGGACTGCCATACCAAAGTCCCATAAACTGGCTGACATCTTCCTACCATGGTTCTGGAGGTCGGAAATCCTACGTCAGGACAGTAGCGGGGTCGCATGTCCCCCTTGGGAGCTCTAGTGGCCCATCTTGCTTTGTCTTCTCAGGGTCGACCGACTCCTGGTAGACTCCACTCTGTTCTCTGCCTCCGTCTTCATGCAGCCTTCTGCCCTGTCCCTTTCTATTTGTTCTCCCTTCTCTTCTTTTCTAAGGGCTTGTCACTGGAGTTAGGGCTCTTGATTTCATCTGCTAACATCTTTCTTTAGAGAGGTCCCCTGAAGTATATCAGGTTTGGGACTTGGATGAATCTTTTTAAGGAGCTACTACTGCTAGATCCCCTGGCTTCCCAGGAGAACTGAGCCTCTTCCAAGATCATTGCTCCTCAAGATTCTACCAAGAGGACCAGCAAGCCATCATGAGAAGTGACTTGGGGCCATCTGTGATCATGCCTATGGCTGCTGACATTTTTAGAAAAGTAAACTCTATGCAGGGAATGGCACGCTGTGCTTGCTACCCTGCAACTCAAGCATTCACCTCCTGGGATTATTCAGAAACCGTAGTTTGGAAAGAACTCTGGACAAGGTGAAGCCTCACTTGTGTACCCGAGTCTGAGTGTGTCCCCCTCCCAGATCTCCCTTTCCCTTTGGGTAGCACCACAGGCTCTGGATTGGCTCCAATTGTAAGTAGGGCAGTCTATCTTCCAAGCTTCTAGTTCATGCCCTTCCTTCATAGATTGCTGGTTAGGCAAGGTTCTTCCAACGTCTTTTCTCTGCCACACACAGCAACATTTTCCCCCCTTAATTCTCCTTTGTAATCTTGCCAATTAAGTATGTTGGACATGATGGGACTGAATTTAGAAGGCATTAGCCCTAATAACCAAGTCATTACCACTACTTGCCAGGCTGGACTCATTAACAGTGGTCTTTTTCTTTTCACCTTGCCACAGCATCATGAGGTTATTAATTAAGTACAGGAGACAGGAATGTTCTGGCTTTCCTTTAGTGCCATCCGGGGAGAAGGTGAGGTCTTTGGTCCTAACTCCTGTGACATGACTCCAGGGGGGGAATGCTTAAATTACCATGAAGTGATATTTTCCTTCCATGTGAACTTGTTTTGTTTTGTTTTTTTTTCTCTTTCAGTTTGGTGACTTTTAGGTCTTGAAAATTCCCAGTGGTTTTTCATCTAATGCATCCTTCAGCTGCATGGCGGGGGTGGGGGTACAATAGTTAAATGCCCATGGTGAAGACTGGCTCTGCTGACTTCTGTGCAGCATTGGGCTGGTTATCCCCTCGCTCTGTCTCCCTTGTCTGGACAAAGGTGGATTAAATGCACTGGCCTGGATAAAATGTCTAGGCCAGTATCTGGCTTATAATGAGCACTCTGTATTTGAACGGTTCTGTTGATTTATTAAATTCAAAGAAATGCTTCTGATATCTACTAGGCGCAAGTTGTCCCCTTTAGATGATGGTGTGACGGGTTGACCCGCCACCTCCCAAAATTCATGTGTAAAAATTCTAACCCAGGGAACTTTGCAATGTGATCTTACTTGGAAATGGGGCCCTTGAAGAGGCTGTCAAGTTAAAGCAAGGTCATTCACGTGGGAGTGTCCCTGTGTGATCATTGTTCCTAAAGGGAACTTGACTGAGCACTGATGTTCACACCTGTCGTCCTAGCTACCCAGGAGACTGAGATCTGAGGATCATGGTTCAAAGTCAGCCTGGGAAGAAAACTCCATAGGACCCTTATCTCCAATGAACGGCCAAAAAGCTGAAAATGGAACTGTGGCTCAAGTGGTAGACCACTAGCCTTGAGGGAAAAAAAACAACTTTTTTTTTTTTTAAAAAAAAGCTCAGGGACAGCAGCCATGCCCTGAGTTCAAGCCCAGGACTGTCACAACACACACAAAAAAGAGGTGGGAGGAAGACTTGGCCTGTAGAGTCAGATATAAGGGAAGACAATGTGAAGAGGCACAGGACACAGGGAAAAGATGATTATCTTACAAACCAGAAATAGACCTTTCCCTCACAGGCCCCCAGAAAAATTCAACTGAACCTGAACCATGACTTTGAACTTGGAACTCTCTGGGCTGTACAGAATAGATTCCTGTGGTTTAAGCCACCCAGTGGTGTACTTTATTACAGCAGCCCTTGAAAACTAATAAGATAATAATAGCCACAGATCTCTGCCCCTGAGCACTGTCGAACCATAGGACTGGTTAAAAACCACAGAAACTCACTCATGCTTACTGAAGCAAACAAATAAGCGAAAATGTGAATGCATAAAAATCCAAAGACAGGACATAAACATCACGCAAATGCTTCGTCTCTTCCTCTGTCCCTGTCTTCCTCTGTGGAAACTGGCATCTCTATCTCCTCATCTTCCTGTGTTTTCTCTTTCTTTTCCTCTTCTTTTCTCTTCCTCTTCTTCCTCTCCCTCTTCCCCCTCTTTTTCTTCCTCATTTTCTTGTTCATATTTTGCCGCTGCTGCTCCTCTTCCTTCTCCTCCTCTTCCTCCTCCTCCTCCTCCTCCTCCACCTCCACCTCCACCTCCACCTCCTCCTCCTCCTCCTCCTCTTCCTGCTCCTTCTCCTCCTTCTCCTCCTTCTCCTCTTCCTCCTCCTCCTCCTCCTCCACCTCCACCTCCACCTCCTCCTCCTCCTCCTCCTCCTGCTCCTTCTCCTCCTTCTCCTCCTTCTCCTCCTCCTCTTCCTCCTCAGAAGCAGAGCACTGGTGGTTCAGCCTGTAAACCTAGTTTCTCAAGAAGCAAGATGTAAGGGTCAAGTTTGAAACCAGCCCAGGCAGAAAAGCCTGCGAGAGTCTTTATCTCCAGTTATCCAGCAAAAAGCCAGAAGTGATGCTCAAATGGTAGAGTACCAGCTTTGAATGAAAAAGCTAAAGATCAGCACCTAGGCCTCAAGTTCAACTCCCAGTACTGGCATGCACACACACACACACACACACACACACACACACACACACACACACACACACACGTGTGCACGCACACACACACGCACGCAAGGCAATTGGTCTTCTATACTGCCCGAATGAAGGTAGTAAAAATATGGTCCCAAGCATAACCTAAGTTTGTGCATTGAAGACACAACAGCCTAGAAAGAAACCTCCTGGATCACATAGCAGTTTCCAGTTCTCAGGGTGGGGAATCTTATTCTACCACCTTGGGTCAACTGCCTAGCCATCAACATGACCATAAAGGTATTGTATCAGTACACAGACAGGGTGCTCCCACTGTGTGGAGCACGGAGAGAGGCCACTACCAAAAAAGGGACAGAGCTCCCAGATAACTGTGAGCCATGATGCCATACCACTGCATCACTGAAGAAACCTAATGAAAATTGGTCTATTGAAGAACACTTGTCATCTTCTAGTCATGGAGCTAGAGTGTCCTCTTCCACCTTCCAGGAGGCAAAAACACTTAGTAGTTATAAGCATGGGTCCTTGAATCAGAGATTCACGGGTCTCAAATCCAGGTTTGCCTTTAATTAATTGCATGATTATGAATATGTCACCATGGTTCTGTGCGCCTAGATCCATCACCTCTCAAAAAGAGAGAGGAAAATGCATTTGAGGTAGGGTTTAGGTGTGAATTTTCATAGAAGAATCCAATCAGTGTCAGAAATTGTAACACTATTCACACTTGATAAATTCCTTTTTGCTTTGCTTTTTCCCTTTAGGCAGAATTCTCAGAGTTGAACCTGGCATCTTATGTAACTGGGGGCTGCATGGTGGACATGCAAGTCGTGAGGAATGGGACAAAAGTTGTAAGGTAAGAGGGGGTGAGCTATGGAAAGTCTTCTGAGACGTGTACGGGACACGACATATAACCTGCCCCTACCTGCTGCCTGCCACCCGACTCTTCTACCACATGTACCTTCATGTATAGGAGATTTGCTTCTAACATCTCAGGTATCACTAGACAGAAATGACTGATGGTACAAATAGCATAGGAACCAGCTGTGATACCCAGGAATCAATCCTAGCAAAAAGAGTGTATGAGAAGAGGTAATAACTGTAGGGCTAGAAGTGTAGCTTTGTAGTAGAGCACCTGCCTAGCAAACACAAGGCCCTGAGTTCAAACCCCAGTACCACCAATAGTAATATTAAATAATAATAATATTATGAAACCTATAAACACCAAAGATCACAAACTTCAAAAATTGAAATAACTACTGGGAGAAATTTTGAGGCCAAGGCCAGATATACAAGCTCTGTTCTTCCGAGAGCAGCGCATTTCATACAGGAAAGCTGTAAAAGCTTAAGATGTTGCAATTTAGGCATTTGTAGGTGCTCATGCTTGACATGATTTGTGCTTGGGGCCCAATGTCTTATTGGAAAGGGACCGAATCTTCTTGGTAACTTGTGGAATGATGATCCCATCTCTCAACTTGGGCTGCAGATTCAAATCATCTTTTAAATATCTTTTAAACACACGCACCCATCTGAGGAGGCGATGTCCGTAGCTTCGTATTTAAAGCTTCTTGGATGATTCCATTCACCAAGCGGGGAAATAGCCTCAACGTGTTCCCCTGTTGGCTTTACCCACCCCTGGGTGGGTGTGGGGAGGGGATCAGCTGAAAGGCCAAAGAAACCAAAGGGTGTATAAACCTTCAACCTTCCTGACTTTATATAGCATTGTTTATAAAAATGAAGTTCTAGCCAGGCCTAGTAGTTCTCACTTGTAATTCCAGCTCCTTGAGAAACAGAGGCAGAAGGATCTCAAGTTTAAGGCCAGCCAGTTGAGAGCAAAGTTAAGGATAATAAAAATAATAAGGATAATAATAAAAGTATAAATTAAAAGCCTTATCTACAGGTAGTCTAGTTCCTGCCTAGCAAGTGTGAGATCCTGAATTGAATCCCATATACCATACCAAAATAATTAGAATTAAAGATGTTATAGGAATGTTTCAGATAGATAGGAGCAGCTAGATTTCTAGCATTTAAAAGTAGGCATCACATACCATTGTTATATATTAAATTGTGCGCCCCCCCCTCACGTGCTAAAGTTTTAACCTATAGTTCCTGAGAATATGCCTTTTCTAGAAGTAGGACCATTGAAAACGTAACTAGCTAAAATGAAGTCATAGTGAATAAGGTGGGCTCCTAATCCACTATGACTGATCCCCTTATAAGAAGAGGAAGATTTGGACCTAGAGACACAAGTCAAATTCCACGTAATACTGGAGGCCAGGATGACATCCACAAGCCAAGGGATGTCCAGTCTTGTCTGTGAGGGCCCTGACACGCGGAGACAGACCTGGCCCACATTCTCCCCTCAGAGCCCTCGGAAGGCACCACACCAGCTTTGACACTTTGATGGTGGGTTTTCAGCCCCCAGAGCTGTGAACGCGTGCACTTCCCTTGCTTTAAGCCATTGACGGACGTTGTGACAGTTTGTCAGAGCATTCCTAGAAAAACACCAAGCCAGTGCTGCTTCTCAAAATATTAAGATGCACACCAATCCAGAGATCTTGTTAAGATGTAGATTTCCTATCCATTGGATCTTCAGGGCGGGTCTGAGATTCTGATTTCCTGTGAGCTCCGAGGTGAAACCAATGCTTCCAGTTCTGCAGATGGAATTTGAGCAGCAAGGACGTGGACAAGCTTCGAGCGGCTACTGCTGTGTAAAATAGCCAGGGCCATAAAGGCGACGTAGCTCAAGCCCGGAGTTAGGGACTGTGGAGACTTATTCTGTCCCATGCCCAGGAAAGGTGCTTATCATCTCAGCCAGGTAGCTCATTCTGACAAGCTTGCTACAGGTGACATGCACGTGCACACACGCATGCACGCACACACACAAGCTTGCTATAGGTGACATGCACACACACACGCATGCACGCACACACACAAGCTTGCTATAGGTGACATGCACACACACACGCACGCACACACACACACACACACACACACACACACACACACACACACACACACACCCCAGGAAGCCCCAGCCTGACTCACTGTGTCCTATAGGTAGAAGTCCATGGTGTTGAGGGACCCTTCCTCCCAAGTAGGAGCATTGAACAGTACTCTCAACTTGCTGACCTTCTCGCGAAGGGGCTGCACTATGTTCATCAGCACTCCAGGGTGCCCACACCTTCTGACTCCTCACTCCCTAAGCACCTTCAAGGAAAGAAGTACAGGTTGATGACTTTTGTCAACTCTACTAGGTTCTGCCCAGCCCGGGTAACTGCTAAAGCCTTCTCTAGGTAGGTCTATCAGAATGTTTCTGGAAAAGATTAGCATTTCACAGTGGACTTGGGTAAGCAGATGGGTTGGTTAGTGAAGATATAGGTTGATACCATCATGTCATCCAAGACCCAACCAAACAGCAGAGAAAGGCAAAGCGGAGGAAGGGCTCTCTCTCTCTTCTTGCTACTGGACATGAGAGCTCTCAGTTTCCTGTAAGAAGTTCTCCCTGAGCTTTTCTGCTCCAGGACTCACAGCAATATCCCCTCAGTTCTCAGGCCTTGGGCTGGGAATTAATGCCAGTGGCTTCCCCGTTCTCAGGTCTTTGAACTTGAACCTCCAATGACTTTGTTACTATAGTGTGGCTATCTGTCTCGATAAGGAGCTTCCTTCTATGTGTATCAGGATGGGTGATCATTGTCTGGGAGTGAGCAGTAGAATGTTCTTGCCTTCTAACATAGCACCCAAATTTTGCATTGGAGGGACCCCCTAACTTGTAGACTGTATGATGTGTGAACAGCCCTAGTATACTGGAATATCACACACTGGGACCAAAACCAGGACAAAGGGAATTCCTCTTGAAATTTTTTTGATTAGCACTGGGATTTGAACTTGGGAGCTTGAACTTACTAGCCAGGTTGGACCAGCTTTGGCTTACAGTCCTCTGATATGGGACCACAGGCATGAACTACCAAGGGTGGCTTATTTGCTGAAATGGAGCTGTATGTACTAGCTTTTTTTTGCCCTGGCTAGCCTCAAAACCACAACCATTCTGATTTCTGCTTTTCCCAGTTAGCTGGGATTAGAACTAGGCGCATCTCCTTCTAAAACTTTTTGCTGAGATTATCAGATTAGAGTTGTGCCGGAGCTGCTGAGCCAGTGGGAAAGATGCCTGGAGTCACTGGGGATCCTCTTTCTCCTGGAGAGAATGATCTACCAAGAATGAAGCCAAGGCAGAGAGGCCCATAGTGAAAACTAAGACCAAGAGATCAAGACTTGATGTTACTGTGGCTCTGAATCCACTTGAGCCCCTTCTCCCCACCCCCAAATAGAAAAGATCCCTTTAGTCTAAGCCAGCTTGAATTACACATATGAAATGTTTATTTGTTTAATACACATTTTTGTAGCCTTTTCTATATGTTTGGTGCTATTCTTAGCACTCGACATATATTATTAGTTCATCAGCCTTTCAGCAATCCTATAAGGTGTGCACTTTGAGATGGGAGGCAGAAATAGCAAGAGTTTAGGTAACAGAAGTCAGATATCCAGCCGGCCAGTGGCAGAACTGGGGTCCTAGACCACAGCCAGTCTGGCTCCGGCCCCTGCATGTGGTACCACTGCCCTACACTGTCTCTCGAAGGAGGGCAGCCTGTGTCCTCCAGCTGTTAAGAGAGACGGACCCTAACTGCCCTGCTGTGAGTGGTAACAACCCTTTGTAAGACAAAGCTGGTAAAAAGCTAAGGGTCTGACTGAGACAGGGGTGCTTCGTGCTTCGAGCTGTGCTGTGGGCCGTCCCTACCTTAGTGACAATAGCCCTTCCTCTCAGGGTCATAACAAGGAATAACAAGTTAAGGGTACGTAAATTGCCTGCAGTAGTGCTTCTAGACCAGGGTAATCACTAAACGAAGTGCTGATCATTCTTATTACAGCCCTATATACAGAGGATGAAACTGAGTCACATCAACTGAGTTGCAGCTGGAGCTGTTGTTAAATTGCAGGCAGCAAACCAGACTTGTAGAAAACCAAAGCAGGTTGGCCACGCCCAGGGGATGTGAGGTACCAGGGAATATCCAGGTGTCTCTAACTCCTCCAGTCTCCTCTCTCTTTTCTGCCTTGTGGCATTTGGTCCTTGGGCCTCTACCAGGCTGGCATGAGCAGACCCTGAGTCTTTGTACAGAATCCAACAGGAGGTAGAGAGCTGTATGACTCATCTTTCTGGCACCGTGACAAAACACCTGAGTGTAATCATCTTACAGAGAGGAAAGGTTTATGGGAATACAGTTGTAGACATGTCAGTCCATGGTTGCCTGGCCTTGTTGTCTTGAGCCTGAGGTGTTACCTCAGGAAGACATGGCAGAGGAGCCTGCTTGTCTTACGTTGGCTGGGAAGCAATTGGGAGAAAGGAAGGGTTGAGGTCCCAATATTTCTGTCAGTGGCACATGCCCAGTGACCTCATTTTTCTTCCACTGGGCCCCCATCTACTGAAAATCCCACTACCTCCCAACACTGTAAGAGGCTAAGGACCAAGCCTTTCATACATGGCTTCCGTTCACATTTAAGATTCTGCAGAGGGGGCTGGGAAGGTGGCTCAGTGTAGAGCGCTTGCCTTGCATGCATGAGGCCCTGGGTTCGATTCCTCAGCACAACATAAGCAGGGAAAAAAAAGCCGGAAGTGGCGCTGTGGCTCAAGTGGTAGAGTGCTAGCCTTGAGCTGAAGAGCTGAGGGACAGTGCCCAAGCCCAGAGTTCAGGCCCCACAACCAGACCCAAAAAAAAAAAAAAAAAGATTCTGCAGTGGGGCCGATTGTATCTAGACTCATCTGGGCCCAGGAGGGCTGGGCTGCCCCTTTCACTTGGAAAT